GCAACCAAAATGGCGAGACAAACAGCTATAGCATGTGAAGTCACGTGGTGAGGACAAATGAGGCCATGATAGTCAAACTTGTTCTAAACAAAGTAAGAAAAAACTGTTGCCATGAGTAAGGGAAGAGAAAGGAAAAGAAACAGTGTCCCCAAGGAAATTGAGAATGTGCAGCAGAGCTGTGGGAGAAGAAAGATGAGGAGAGAGATCAGTTAGGGTCAGGGAAAAGGGTGAAGGGTTAAGACTGAGTGGTGAAAGGTAGAGTAATCAGGCTATCTGTTGCCCCTGTTCTCCTGTTTTGATGCTACATTTACCATACAGACAGTTGGATCAGTCTTCTCATCTAGCTCACAGCGAGAAGGATGATGAGCATATCTAACTATTCCTTTCAAATAAATTTATATCTACAGGTATGGACTGGAGTGAATGTGTTTAAGTGTGTAACATCAACTCCCCATAATGTTTAGGTCCAACTCTTCTGACAAACTAGGACTTAACTTCTGGTTACTGTGAAATGTCAGGATCAGTTAGGTTTAATAGGGACAAGGGGGTTCAAATCTTTATTTATTTAAAGAAAGACTGCTGATTTCTCATCATGCTTCCTCTCTGCTTTGCTTCATATATTTAAAACTGGTCATACTTGGGATGATTCCAGTACAGCAGAGTCTTCTGCTGGCTGCAGAAAGTTTGGAGATTTGTGGAAATTTACTGCTCTGGATCAAGCTTGACACCAGTTGTTGCAAGAAGCAACTGTATTATCTATTTACCGCCCAGTGACTTTCCTTGAGAATTACAATGAGATAAAATCCAAAAACCACTGACTGTGAGTCCACCACTGCCTCACAGCTGGTAATGTAAAATGAAGACAGCAGAATAACAGAGAGAAAAGAAAGAGAGACAGTTTTTTGATTTCCCTGCATATGACTGGCCTGCAGAAAATTAAGGCTGTGGAATAGTTTGCTTTCCTTTGCTGGTGCTGAGTCAGACAGTTTACTGTTTCTCTGCCTTTGTTCAGAACAGCTGCTTTTTGAGAAGCATGCAATGAGACTTGAGACCAGGTCATATGAGGGATATAGATGTGGAATAAACGTGTGATGATTCAATGGTTGAAGCCCAGAATGAATAGAAGATAATGGTGCAGACAGAAGTTGGACATGTGGTGGGTTATCTCAAAGGTCCTACACATCAGACGCCTGTCTGTCTCTGTTGCTTTGCTGAGGCTTTGTGTCCTGTCTCTCTCTTGTGGGGCCCTCATCCTTTCTTTGATGCTTTTACCATTACACACACACACACACACACACACACACAAAACTGGCTCCCTCTCTGCACAAATATGACTGTACTTTGAAGATGTTACAAAGACATAAGATTTCTGTGTGCATCTCTGTGTCCATGGCTGTGTCTTTGGAAAAGCTGAGTCTATCATCTGGTAAAGGAATAATCTTTCCGGGGTTATCCTCTTCTATTTTCCCTCCATCTCTCTTTCTGCCTCTCAGCAGTTTTAAAACCTTAACTACCAAAGTTTCTGTTTGTCTATGGTTAGTTTATACATATGTGATTCAATCTCCTATTGCAGTTCGGTTGAGCCTTTTCTAATTTTGTTGCTTTCTTTTTTCCTTCTCCAGAGCTAAAAAATTGTTTTTGGACAGACAGAGATTAGTCATTGCAGTTTCCATCAGCAGCCATGTTTTTTAAACCTTGTCATATAACTCCATACTTAAAATTTTGTAGCAGCTGTTCATACAGTGGCGTTTATTTTTCCCTTCTCCCTTTTTTACATCAACCATGCAAGTATGCTAATGAGAATGCCTTATATCTTGTAAGCAAGTTAAACTAATTTGTGCACAGAGTGCTGCAATTCAATTGTTCCACTGGAGTTTCTCAGTGGTAAAACACTGTGTTTGTAGTGGTCAGCTCCCAGATGAGAACATAAGTGGGCATGAAAGAAAGAGGACATGGCTGAAAAGCATGCTCAGTATCTGCCTAACAAATGTTAACATGCAAACCGATATCTTAGCTACTTACAGTAGAAACAGATGTGATGCCGGATGCCTACAACATTACATCTACATCTGATAGCATCCAAATATTTTAATTGATGGCTTCAGTAACTGTAGACTACAGCTGACTGGGATTATCCTCTTTGGATTGAACAACCGGGTACCAACCCCAGTCTGTTCAGATGTTTGTGAAGAATAGTTGGTGATAGTCTGGGTGTAGACGGACGGCACTAAAGTCTGTTCTGAAAAATGAACCTTATAGACCTTGTAGAAGAAGTGGATAAAAGTACTGTCTTTTCCCCGACTCATGCCTACACTCCATTATTTAACCACAAGTCCGCAGCTAATTGCTTCAGTGTGTGCATGTGTGTGTGTGTGTGTGCTTGTGCACGTGTGTGTGACATAAGACACCAGCGGTCGGGAAAAATGAACAACCAACGTGTCCTGCTGTATTGGGTAGTGCATAGATGCCTCAGTAGGCCTGAACTGTGCCAGTGTGTACTCTGGGACAGTAATGAAATATTACTGTCATTTCATTTACATCAGTGTAGAGGTTTGGTGACCTCAAGACCAGCAGCAATACTATATATTTAAGTGTCAAAATTTACCAGTCAAACACACTAACTAAACTAAGAGTCTGAGGACTCAGAACAGTGGTGGAGGAAGTGCTCAAAAATAAGAAGTACCTAACCAGTATCTCCAGTACTTAAGTACAGTACTTGAGTAAATGTACTTAGTTACTTTTCACCCTTTACACACAGAATACCTTCCACGAGACACTGTATGAAAATGTGAGCTGATCTTCCTATATTTAAATGCTTATCCCATCTCTTCCTCTCTGTGATAGCCATATTTTTACTCTACCTTCAAGTGTGGCCATTCAGAAGCATGTAAACAATTGCTTTCCAACATGGTCAGACACATGTTGTATGACCTGTCTTGTTCAATACATGCCACATGTTCTTTCAGTGAAGGAAAAGTGTCTAAAGTGTACAGTCAATCCACATAGAAATTGATGAAGTGGCCACTAAAGAACAATACATCAAAAGCAGCTGTTCGTACAGTGGCTGAAATGAAATGGCTTTATAGCTGCAAAATACAGTTCAGCTGTTTGGAAGCTGGAAGCTGAGAATGTATCAGAGCCAATAATGATATGTGGCATGTGGCTAGAAGTCAAGCGAGTAGAAAGTAGGCTGTGACTTAGGAGGTGGGAAATGTAAAATCAAGTTGTCTCTATGTTCCATTATTGGTTTTTGAGTTAGGAGAGAGCTTGAAAGTACTGTAATGTCAAATGATGGGACAGGGAGTGAGGGGAAAGGAGAGGTTTCGCCTGCTCTATAAATTAAATTTCTGGAATGTGTCTCTGGAAGGATGGCTGTCTTAGCAGGAGGAGGGATTAACCAGGCTGAATGATACCATAAACACACCAAGAGAAGGAGGTCTGGGGTAAAAGCTAGGATTCTGGGGGGGGAGCGATTGCTGACTTGGGAGAACAGCTAATGAGTCTTAGAGGAGAAGAGAAGGAGCAAATCAGCAAGAAGATAAGAAAACGAAGGAGAGCAAGAGAGAAAAGAAAACAACAGTGGGACGGGGGATGAAAGAATAATAAGGAAAGGAAAAAAGAAGGCAGGGGGAGAGAATGATGGGGGTAGTCCAAGGTAAAGAAAGACAGGAGGAGGATGAGGGATGCAGAGGAGGAGGAGAAGGAGGTGGGGAACAAGCCCAAAAGGCTCTTGAGGTTCTCTGGGATCCTAAGGTTTTATGTTTGTTCTCCCTCTTGTTCTGATAGTTGTTACATAAGTGGAAAAGACTGCTGAATTGTTCTACTGTGTTTAATCTATCTGCCAAAACCAACACACAACAGCCAAGTGACTCATCTGCTGTTCACAGAAAGAACACACGCATTGACACATATACTGCGGCAGCATATCCATATCAAGGTCACTATCCTGTGTTAAGAGGCTACAGCAGGCAACATTTGCTATCATTTTTAAGGTTGCACTAAACAACCATTCCACACCGAGGAAAGCTACAGAATATAATAATGTTAGTATGTTGAATGTTCTGCATTGTGGCAGGTCACATGTTCCAGAGAAAAACATGATTAGCATTTATGTGAATTTCTTTTGTTTGCCCAGCTGAGCTTGTTTGTGTGGTAGGCCTTAAATTACAGTCTCTCGCCGAGTTGTTTGTCCCCAGCTTTAAATCTGTAGACATTTTTCCTTCAGGGTTTGAGTTCTCAAATCACAGCTATTGGCTTCATTTATATTCTTTAACTGTACTAAAGGGAAATAATCATACTTTTCTATGGAAAATCCAATCTCAGCCTTCGACTGTCTACCAGACACCCCATTCACAGTGGGCAGATCATGTAGTGGAGGCTTCCCAGCGATGAAAAGGTCAGGCTGATGCACATCTGGCATTTCCTCTCCTCTAAATGCCCTCAAGTGGTAGCCACACACAAACATACATTCACACCAAGGAACACATGCATAGACATCTGTGCCCAAACCTTGTTTAGTAAGAATAAGAATGAACATGCACACACATTTCTACATACAGTCCAATAGCTACTGCTTCTCCATACTGAAATGTTTTTAGTGGGTTGGAAAAAGTTCCAGCTCACTGCAGTGAAAAAAGAGGAGCAGAGTTATGGTCAAGAGAGGGTGGAAGAAAGAATAAGAGGCTGACAGAGAACAAGAGACAGACAGAAAGGCAGAAGGTAAAGGAGAAAAGAAGGGGGAGACAGTCTCTGCATCTCACAGAGCTGACAAACACTTTCCACTCCCATGGATGCTGTGCACTACTTGAAGGTCGTGTGCATGTGTGTGTCTGAAGCCATAAGCAAGATCGAGGGACAGAATGGTGCCGTATGGTTTTCATAACTCTCTGAGGGTTTTTAGATCTGCCCTTTTTTTCCCCGTTCCCCCCCCCCCCATCTTTCTCTCTTTCTGAGGTTCAGTCAGAAAGCCAGCTTTGCAGAAGCAAGAAACCCCCGGCATGATTAGATACAGCAGAGTGTTTCTGTCACTGCAAGGCATCAGGTTCATTATGGACTATGTTTAACTCTCTTGGACTTAGCTGAAGGGCAGATTGCTCAATTAGGCAATTTTGAATACTGGACTCTACTGGTACTTCACTGGACTTTGTTTTGGACTGCACTGGTTCGGCTGAACTTCCTAGGGAATTCCACCAAAGTGCATTAACTCCTGTTAGTTTTATTTAACATCTGTTGAAATCTGCTTCACTTTGGCAGCAGTACTGGGAGACTGAGTATGAATGGCGTTTGACCGATTCTGCACTGTAGAGCTATTTGCAGGGCGTGGGCAGTCTAGGGTTAATTAAAGTGATCAGATGCCAATTTTGGACATATTTGCCTCAGATTACTTTGAATAAAGCTCTATTACACCTGATTATTTATATATATACATACAAACACAGGATAGAAAAACTCAGGGGTGGGAACTTGCAGTATGTCAATTTAATTGAGGTGTGTACAGGTTTGTTTGGTTAGGAGGTCAGAAAAGATAATTGGCAATAGGTTGGGAAACTCAGTTGAATGTTGGCCTAGTTTAAACCTTAGGTCTTGGTGGAGGATACAAAAAATCATCAGGAGCAGTAGCAGCTGCAGCAGCATGAGTCTCCTGTGTTTCCTGTGGCTGCTGATGGTCTGTCTGGCTCCTAGTAGCCGAGGCCAGAGGCTGAGGGCGACAGATGGGGAGCAGCCAGCAGCCAGGGGTCTGCTGGAGGAGAGAGATGCACTCTGCTACCAGGAGGGATGCTACACTGTCATCCTCCAGAAGAGAACCTTCAGGGAGGCTGGACGGAGCTGCCGGGAGCAAGGTGGGACCTTGGCAACGATGCATACCTACGAGGCAGCGGGTGTGGTCCATGAGCTGCTGTCAAACATCAAGGCAGAGGGGACCAGATCAAGGCTTCGCCTCTGGATTGGGCTGCACAGACCTACGCGCCAGTGCTCATCCAACCGACCTCTCAGAGGATTCGTCTGGGTCACAGGCAAAGTGTTTTTCATATTTGATCCTTCACTGTACCTAATATTGAAGCTCATTACCACAGCAGCCATTTTACTGGATTTTAATAAGTGAGCTCAAATAAAATGTCCTCAAAACAGAGAAAAATACCTAATGGTACATCCTTATTACAATTTAACATTCACTTTTCTCAGTCAACTTTTTAAAAATCACTGCACTGAAACTAATGAGGAAAATAAATGAATGTGATTTAATGAAAAATCTGTGGTCAGCACAATTGTGGCTCAGTCTGTAGAGAGATTCATTAGTTAGTTAATGATCTAAATTGGTTGTGGCATTTTCTAGCTAAAAATATGTAGTGCTAAATTGACTAATGCCAAATTTAGACCTATTTTATTATATAGATTTTAATCAAACACATGTTATTCAGTAACACAAAAAGAGACTATTTTCAAATTCCCTGATGATATTTTCAGTAAATTAAAATCAAAGCCCATAAAGGTTCAAGAGGAACCACACTGCATTTTCAGAATATGTTTTAACTCATCATGCTGCCCCCACCTCAACCTCACCCTGCAAAGGTCTGACGGGCTGGTTATTACATTTACTGCTTTTGTTACAGAGACAGAGCTGGCGCGACAGGGGAAGTTCCAAATCCCTTTTGACCTCAAAACCACCTCTCAGCCTGATTTAGTCATTACACAGACCCCGCCCATTAAAAACCAGATGGGATTTTTTTAGCGCTCATAGCGTCAGCTTTGGTCTTCAGTCAGAAAAAAACATTACATTTTCAATGCTTTCCCCCTCTCTCATTATTTTCCCAAACAAAAAAAAACATTCTCTCGCTTGCTCCTAATGGCAACTAGCCATGCAGATAGTTTGTGGTTTTATTTACGCAGGGAGTGATATATAGTAAAGAAATAATGTCAGCTCTGGATAATCCATTGTCAGAATTGTGAGTAAGGTACAGTATGTTCCTACGGGGAATAATGACAGAGATCAGTTCAATTTGTTGCACAAAGTGTGGTACTTACTGTAAACCAACATGTCATGTACATTGTCAGGTCTGCCAAAAGTTCAACAAAAGAGCAATTCCACACTCTTAACAACTATAGAAACCGAAATATTTCATCAAGGTAAAACCTGTGTGTTATATAGATGTTCTTAAGTACACCATTGCCTGCTTGTTTCCAAGCTCCTAGTGAGTAAATCCTCCCTGTTCTGGTGGGAAGACAATAGAGAAACTACAGAATACTATTGCTACAAAAATGACTGGTACCTTAAAGCTCACAGGATTTGAAGATTTCAGACTATGGCAGACCCTACTGGCAATATCAGCAAAGACAATGTGGCAGACAGCAACGCACTCTGCTACACCCCCAACTCCAGTGACACAAGCCCAGAGAAATGAATTGAGTTGAGAGATGCTAGATTGCACCGGTTTTCACTAGAATTGTCTCATTTTTATACAAGTGAAAACCTTTAGCGTCCGAATTATTTAAAAGACATTAAAATCACATAAACATGTTATGCATTAATTGATTATACTTTAATCATGATAAGCTTAATCCTTAAAACTTTAAATGTGCAAAAGTAAATTTTATATCTAAAGAAAATGTGCTGACAAAAACAGGGACACTGTACTTTTACTGACTTGGTGTCTATTTTCCAACAGGAGACCAGGATGGCCAGTTCATCAACTGGCTCCGTGACGAGGCCCCTGGGACTTGTGCAGTCCCACGCTGTGTGGCCATGACTGTCCACACTTCAGAGAGTGGACATGAGAGCAACGATAACTTCCGGTGGCTTGATGGCGCCTGTGGACTCCCACTGGATGGATATGTTTGCCAGTACAACTACAAAGGAATGTGTCCACCACTGGAGGATGAGGGGAGAGGTCCAGCTGTCTACAGCACTCCATTTCACCTTGTCAGCACCCTGCTGACTCATGTGCCCTATGCGTCTGTAGCTACTCTACCATGCCCCACAGACAGCTCAAACCCAGATGCTGAGCAGACTGTACTATGCATGGAGAGAGATGACGGTACAGTGGGCTGGTCCAGAGATGCACCACTCTGCTTAACCACTGCAGCTCCACAGAACCAAGACTGGTGTAGCAGGGACCATGGATGTGAGCAGTTCTGCCAGAACACAGGTACAGGCTACTACTGTTACTGCTCTGAGGGCTTTACGATAAATGAGGACGGGTACACCTGCATGCCTGACCCTCTCAGCCAAACTGACCCCCCTGAATTATCCTCAGTCTCTGCTGGTCCCACTGACCAGCCTCACATCAAAAAAATCTGTGTGGAGATGGGGTGTGAGTACAGCTGTGTGGAGACACTTCGGGGCATCCGCTGCACATGTCCCCCGGGCTACCAGATGGGTCCAGATGGCCGCAAATGTATTGATGTAGATGAATGTCTACAGCAACCATGTCCACAACTCTGTGTCAATATCCCGGGCACCTTCCATTGCACCTGCCACCCTGGGTACCAGCCAGATGATGAGGGTGAGTGTGTGGACATTGACGAGTGCCTCGATGAGGGCAGCTGTGAAGACATGTGTGAGAACACTGTGGGGTCTTTCAATTGCCTGTGTTACCCCGGGTACGAGTTGGGCAGCAGAGGAGAGTGTGTAGATGTAGATGAGTGTGTGGGGGAGTCACCCTGCCAGCAGCAATGTCTCAATTATATGGGAGGGTACCAGTGTTACTGTGACAATGGCTATGACCTGCAGTCAGATGGACTTACCTGCCAGCCTTCACCAGATGATGGAGAATACTCCACTCTGACCCCTGGCCCCAATGACTCCACTCACCCACCTGATGTGGACTCTAACCATCATAATCCCTGGTTGACCTTGTTTACCCCTGATCCAAATTTTGAAACAGATTCTAACTTTGATGCTGACTGGCTGACAGAAGCCCCTGAAAGACTCTCTCCTGACATTGCTCATGGGTCAGACAACCACCTGAACCACTGGGATGCCCTATCACCTAAGCAATACCAGACAGCTCCATCCCCAACGCAAAAATACAACACAGGTAATGAAATTGATAATGAGGCTAAGACGGGAGGTAGGGAAGCTAGTGACGGAGTGGGAACTGAGACTACAAATGAGCCAGCTACTGGGAATAGGGAGAAGGAGAAATCCAAGTTGGACAGTACTGAGGATGTCAGTGGCACAGCAGAGGTAGGAGCTGGATCTGCTGAAGGTAAACAGAAACATGACAAAAGCTGGCTGCTAGTGGCCCTGCTGGTGCCTCTATGTGTGTTCCTTGTGGTGATGCTGGCTCTGGGGATTGTCTACTGCACCAGCTGTGCAGTGGATAAAAGCCTGAGCTTCTCAAACTGCTATCGCTGGATACTCCCTACAATGCCCCCTGACAGGAGTGATGGCAAGACCCAAGCATGAACTCTAAAAATAAACAAACACAGGTGGACGCACACATACACACAGGTGTTCAACGCCCAGATGTCTGCTAACATTTCTCTTGTGATGCTGAACTGGTCACTGAAAGTACTATTTGCATGTAGTACAGCTGACTGGCTCTCTCCTCCATCAAAGAATACTTAATACTTTCTTTTGCACACCCTTTGTAAATAATTCACTCTCTCATCATGTTTTTACAATCAATAAAACTAGTAAACTGATTAAATACTGTGTGGTTTGTAAGCCTATCTAGGTTATAAAATAATAGAATGTCTAACTCTGGATGAAAAACATAGAGTGTATGTGGGAAAAGTGTGTGGCTATTGTTTTATGGCTCCATGTGAGTAAACAAATTAAAGACTCTGGTGATTTTCTAAGCCAAATATTCTTTCTCAACAAGAATAAAATAAGGGAGATGGAGGAGAGGGACAAATGTAATGTACATTTCTTAAGTGTGTCTACTGTTGATAGCTTTAGAATGGGTTGAACAAATTAAACCAAACTTCTTTAGCGACTCAGTTTCAGTCTCCCTGGCCTTGGAGCCATGGTCGCCCAAATACATTACTGACCTCCAGACATTTAATTTTTGAACGTAGTGTTTAAGTATATAAAAAGTAATTAAGTAAGTAAAAGTATAAGTAAAAGTGAAACAAAAACATCGCTGCTCAGTGAAAATAATTTCTATAAAAACATCTTAAAATGCAAAAAGCAGTAACATTAGATAGGTATCAACTAATAATTTTGTTGAGAGGTCGGTCTGATGACCCAGTTAATTGAATGTGGGAGTGTGCATGAAGATGGCTAACTGTATTACCCACAAAAAAGTGGATTTTGCTAAAGATGGCTATCAGGAAAAGGCTCAAATCACTCTACCACCAAAGAAAGGAAGAGATTGGAAGACCACCAACAGTGTCAGCGTTGAAGGTATGTAGGTAAGTTACCAGTGCTAGTGCTAGCTTTAGCCAAGAAGATGTTGAAGAAAGTGGGTTCCACATGCAAGTGGAGGAATTTGTCCATGGCCTAAGCACAGATAAACCAAAATATAAGTCATTGTATGTCAAAACAGCAAGATACAAGGACAGTTTCTTCCCTTGGTCCATCACTCTGGTGAACACACTGCAGTCTTGTTTTTTATTTTCCTAATTCAAGTTTATTTTTCTTGTTTGCACATCCTTTTTCTTTTCTTGTTTTCTCAGTGTTATTTTATCAACTTGTTGCCTTATGGAAGAACATTGTACATACACATTGAGAGCCACTGCACTAGAGCCAAATTCCTCGTGTGGTCAACACACCTGGCCAATAAAGTTGATTCTGATTCTGGTAATAGATGCAATGATAATAACACATCACAACCAAATAAATAACTGATCATAATGTTATTCTGATTTCTCTTGGGAGGGCCATATTTTTGATTGGGTGAACCTGGCCCTCCTGGGGAAGGTCTGCTTGTATGTATATTATATGCAACCTACTGTAACAACTGATAGCTGGAATAAAAGTACTGAGGCATCCTCACACAATTAACATTATTATAAAACAGCATGCTGTTTGATTGCTCGACACACTTGACCTTGTTATTGAAGTCACAAAATTAATATTTTTAAAAGATCCTGGTCTCTCCTCAAGATAAAGTACACTTGATATCAGATGTGTTACATTAATTCTAGAACTCATATTATATGACTTATTTGTGCAGCTGCAAACTAACCTTATGTTAGGAGGTAAATGTCTTCCAGCAACACCTGTATTACATTTGGTAATGGAAAAGTGTCGCGACGAGGATGGGATTCGAACCCACGCGTGCAGAGCACAATGGATTAGCAGTCCATCGCCTTAACCACTCGGCCACCTCGTCCTGTTGAAGTTATTATTTTTAGTGTTCCTAATTATTTGTTCTTGCAAGAACGCGTGTCAAATGTATATTTTTATTGTGTTTGCTTCATACATAGTGTATTTCAGACTTGCCATTAGTCACAAAAATTGGGATAAAGGGTACCGAAAAGCCCGACGCAGCTGCTTCATGATTGGTTAAAATCCCTATGCCCACAATATACAACCTGTGATTGGTTGAAGGGCGGGGTAAACGTTGAATGAACATCGGAAGTGTACAGCGTGAGACTGCAGTTTGACGTTAGCTGAAGTTGTGACTGAAAACAGGGTAAGTGTTTTGATTTGTGAGTTGATTTATAATTATTGAAATATGTTAAACTGGAGTTAGTAATACATAAACGTATATTGCATGGTATTGGCTTCTAAATGTTGTGTTTACAGGAGCTGTGGCAGTGTATTTAAGTGCTCCAAGCACTCAGCAACTGACTTAGCATGCACGCTAGAAGCTAACGTTAGCGTTGAGTTAACTCGAGCTGTTAACGTTGCTTGTATTAATGTTAGCCTGAAGACAAAACGTATCTACAGTATTCGATTGAGTAGACTGCTGATTTTAAAAGGATGTAGAAGCGTGTTGACTAAGGCATATAGTCTTTTTTCCAATTACCATAGTGGGTTTAGTAGAAAGTGAAACTAAAAATGGCTCAGACAAGGTAATATTAACTGACTGCTTCCTTTTAAATCAGCGCCACCGCCAGAATCAATGAATAAATCCGTTTTTGTGTTGTAATAATTATCATTAGATTAGTCGATCGACACAGACTTAGTTAATTGTCACTTCCTATTAATGTTAATAAGTCAGTTAATATTGAGGCGAAGATTAGATCCTTTTACCTGTTTTATTGTACTGAATATTGAATGTTTTTGGGTTTGGGGCTGTTGGACAAAATCATTTGAAAGTCTTCATCTGGGCTTCTGGTAAATATTGGTGGTTAAAAGGCTAAATGATTAATTATCGTGTATTACTACAATTTTACCCCATTTACACTATAAATGAGGGTAGGCTAAATAACAGAGACACGATTTTGTATAATGTGGTACATTTAAATAGCAGCACAAACTGCAGCCTGCAAAATGATCTACAGTTCAATCAACTCCTCTTTAAAACAGCTGAACAAAAACTGAATGTTCTTTTTCATTAAAACTATTCATAAAGGAAGGCTCTATTACAAGAACATTGTATTAGACTGCATTAGTTTTAGCTGGGTGTGCTGAGAAAATTGTCAACTGATGAGTGCACAAATCAGCTGGGATTTTTGGAATGTTGAAATCTGGGTATTTATGTGTTTTTACAGTACACAGTCTTTTTAACCTGCCTAAAATTTAGACAGTTCACACTTCTTTACTTCCTTTCTTCTACCACATCGTCTCCTCTTTTTCCATCTGTTTCTCTCTACCCTTTTTTTTTCTTTCCCACTCTTCAGTTCCTTATCATCATTGTTAAACCTCAGACTGAAGATGGTGGACTCCCAATATTACCTCCCAAGTGACATTGGCATCTCTGTTCTTGACTGTGGCGAGGCCTTCCGATTGCTTTCACCTCAGGAGAAGATGTATGCCCACTACCTGTCACGCGCTGCCTGGTACGTTATTAATCTCAGGATGTAGCAAGTTCATGTTCACTCTATTTAAGTCAGTAAATCAAATGAGATCCTGAATGGATTAACAGACATGAAAGAAATATATCTTATTTCCTTTAAAGAATAAAAACTTAGGACTTTAGTTTATTGAAGAACTTAAACCCTACTGACCAATAAAACATTTGCTGTCATAGGTTTGGCAGTCTGGCAGTGCTGCTGCAGACATCCCCAGAGTCTGCAAACATTTTTGTCTTGCTGCAGAGAATCTTCAGGAAGCAGAAGCCAGCACAACTGGAACAGGTCGCCACAGCAGCTGGACTCAGCTCTGAGGAGTACCAGGTAAAAAGTCCTATAGTTTTTACCTGTTTTTGTTGCTGTCTTGGAACTTTTTTTCCACAAACAAATGCAAATATGTACAAAGATGTTAATTATGCCATATACCAAATGAAAATGATTATTGTTTTTGTGTGTGTGATATTTAGGCCTTCTTGGTATATGCAGCAGGTCTGTATGCTAACATGGGAAACTACAAGTCTTTTGGAGACACCAAGTTCATCCCAAATCTACCTAAGGTACAAAGGACTGTTACATTGGGTGTAAAATCTAGTGCAGCTGTTTTGTGAACAGTTTTACAGGGGGTTGACGCATTCAGCACCTGCAATCTAATGCACGCTGAAGTTGGTGTATTATAATGTGCATATGATCTATAGTGCTCTTTTACCACTGTGGTGATATACTGTATATTTAAGCTGTCTGCATCTGTGTTATACTCACCCAGGACAAGCTGAAAGCTCTGGTGTGGGCCAGCCAGGCATTTCAGGAGCAGTCTGCTGAAATGGAGGTTCTGTGGAACTGCTGTTCATATCTCCTCTACTCCCTGGAAGACAAACAGAAACAGCTGGGGCTGGGCGACAAGGTGGGAGTTCAGTGCAAAGTTCAATCCATCTATTTTACCTGTTACTATCCACTGAGTTGTCAATTCTGGATAGATTTTACTAATGAAATTCAACATGGTAAGCACGGGCTTAGGGCTGGAATTAGGGGGAGACTGGTCTCTCTAGCAGATACTGTAGGTCTGTTCTAATCTAAAAATCCTCAAAAGGCCTCTTCTCTTCTTCAGTTCTCATTTATGAAATGCTACTCATGTCAGATACACTGAATGCTTTCATTTAGCCCATTCAGGGCTCCCTTTTAAAAGATGTTTCTAAACACAGTGGGATTATCCCTGGTTAAATATTATATAAATAAATAGTCTCCAGGCTGGTGTTTTTAGACTGGGTTCCAACAACACCAGTAGGCCCTTTAGAAAGCCACTGAACCCAAGACTTCCATCTGGCACTCCAAGTCATCTGGCACTGTGACCCCTATGAGAAAATACATGGCTCATGAAATATTTTTGCTTTTCTCATCTTCAGGGAATTACCACCTACTTCTCAGGAAACTGCTGTCTGGAGGATGCTGAGCTGGCTCAGAAGTTCCTTGACTCAAAAGTAAGCTGAATTCGTATCCAAAATTAATGCTTTTATTTCCGTCATTCTTGTCTCTTGAAATAGCTTATCACATCTCACTTTTTTACTGCAGTCTTGGATTATGACATGTCCTTGTCCTCCTAATTGTATTTACCATGTCATTCGTATCTTTCCTACATTTTGCCGGTTCATGTATTTTCCTCATGTATATTTTCATCTGAATCATATTGTTCTGAGCTATGTTCTTGTGGTTCATTTGTAGAAACTGTCTGCTTACAACACCCGTCTGTTTAAGAGAGACAATGGAGGGAAAGCTTGCTATGAGGTGCGCTTGGCTTCAGCTGTGCAGAAAGGTCAGAACTGCAAAGAAGTAAATGGAGTTTTTCTTGAGAACCAGAATAATGCCTGTAAAAATTCACCAGCTGTGTTGCCAGCCTGGGCATACAAAGTGTAATATGTATCACGACTCCACATGTTGTATTAAATACATTTCAAGTTGTGACCTCAAAAAAATATTGATTACTGAGAAATTAATATGGAGGATTTTGGTTATGTTTGGCCATTGATGATACTTCACAACCAGTGATAAAAGAAATAAATGTGTACTACTGCTTTTCAGACTGTGCAGTAGATGGGGAATGTGAGACATGCTGCGGCAGCTTCAACTTTGAAGGCAAAGAGTTCACTGTGAAGAGGGGAGACTATGCTCCTCTCATGGAGAAAGTCTGCTTCTATCTCGAACAAGCACAGGTCAGCAAGCAATGAATACAGTGCAGTGTTTAGTCTGTATTCTTTTAGCTGTTTGGAACCACAACAGGAACAAAATGAAGTTGTTAGAACAATATGAATTCATTTGTGCGGTAAATCACAAAAATCTGTAGTAGTTAAGTTTTGGTGTTGATAAAATGTCTATTGTAAGTATTGAAAGTGATGTAACACAAGATCAGTTCAAATTTAGCAAAACATAAATGGGAAGAAGAGGCGACAAGACAAAGAGTTAGGCATGTAAGAGTGAATTAATTTGATGACGCTGATAATCTAAACGTAGATTTCCTGCCACAGTTCCACTTTTGAGATTTTTGCTCTTTCCAAATAACTGACACAGGCTTACGCTGCCAATGACAACCAGAGAAAGATGCTCGAAGAGTACAGGCGCAGCTTCACCTTTGGCTCAATTGAAGCCCATAAAGACGGCTCACGCTATTGGATCAAAGACAAGGGACCGATAGTTGAGAGGTGAGCCTTCACTGAGCTACTGTAAAATCACCACTGACTGTCCACAATGACGGTTGCTTTGTTTTCCTATACCTACTTAATTCTAAGGATATTTTGGAGGTCAAACCACTAAGTGCATGACTTGACAAATTTGTTGCTCTTTTACTTGTTATCTAAAGCCATTCTAAGTGTTATCCGATTTATGAAAGACAGAAGTAATGCAGAAATCAAATTGACATTTCTTGCTTTGAGTTCAATGAAATACAAATGGCCAAAAGATTGTGCAGCTATAAAATCTGAGGACTTCATTATTTTATGGCACGTTACAAGATGTTTTTTATATTTAAGGTCTGATTTGGCAGTGACGTTTGGTTGAAGTATTTAGTAATGAAAGTAATATAATTATCATGTGCATGTACAGTAAATACAGACAAAATATCTGTCAACTAGACAAAAACAACAACAAAAAAACAATGCATAAAACAAAAAAAGTGATGATTTCACATTTGATCGCAGCACCCTTAACTTCTTCAAATGTATTCTAAATGATGCTTTTTCTCAGTAGCTCACTCTCATATCAAGTTCATTCTGACCTTTGCACTAGCTGTTGAATATTACTCTTATGTACTAATCTCTGAAATCTCTCTGCTTTAAACTCTGCACTGCTCCTTCACTCCTTCCTCTTCCTCTCTCTCTCTCTCCCTTTCAGTTACATAGGTTTCATAGAGAGCTACAGAGACCCATTTGGCTCCAGAGGAGAGTTTGAAGGTAACCACCATGATGATCTTTCCAGGTCTTACTGCTGTGACACAGAGCTGAAGACTTACTGGAAAGAATAGTATTATTATAGAGTTATTAAAACAACTATTTAAGTAGATATATGCAGCTTCTCACTCAAGGATGTCACATTGTAGAAAAATGACACTGATTTTTGAAGGTCACATACTCCAGAGGAGGCTGCTCAGTACTCAGGATGACCCAACCTATCATGATATTAATACTTGGCCAAATGCCCAAATTGTTCATTTAATTTTACTCAGGTGTGAAACAATGAAAGAAGGGTGGAGGATGTATGCATAATTCATCCTCCAGGAGGGTTTATATTACTGTCCTCATCTATTATTTATCTAATTTACAGGATGGTTTTTCTTTAAGTCTGTTCACAGTTTTAGTTTTTTTAATTTCTTTTTGGTTTCATTTGATAACTCGTGTTGTTGTGTCACCCCTAGGTTTCATTGCTGTTGTGAACAAGGCGATGAGTGAGCGTTTTGCGAAGCTGGTGAGCTCAGCAGAAGTCTTGCTTCCTGAGCTACCTTGGCCCAGGGAGTTTGAGAAGGACGCTTTCCTTAAACCTGACTTCACCTCACTGGATGTCCTAACATTTGCTGGGAGCGGAATACCAGCTGGCATCAACATCCCTAACTGTATGTATACAGTAGTGTCACGTTTCCACTGTTCAAGTGGTATGAAGTGTTGAATTTTGTTGTTTCTTTTACAGCATTATACTTAAACAACCATGTTTGTGTGTTTTTGCATATAGATGATGAGATCAGACAGTCAGAGGGTTTTAAAAATGTGTCGCTAGGCAATGTGCTGGCTGTAGCCTATGCCACCCAAAAAGAAAAACTCACCTTCCTGGAGGAGGAAGACAAGGTAAATTATTCAGCTCTTTAATCTCACATGCCAGCTCTTGTTTCCTGACATAATCACATAATTATACATTCCCCCGTGTGTTTGTACTTTAGGATTTGTTTATCAAGTGGAAGGGCCCGTCATTTGAGGTGCAGGTTGGGCTTCATGAGCTCTTGGGCCATGGAAGTGGAAAGCTGTTTGTCCAGGTCAGTCAAACGTACTGTAGTATAGTCAAAGTAA